GGCTGTATGGCGTCACACCGGTGTAAAAGGAGGCGGGAATAGTAGGAATCGCAATGGATGTGTTCAAAGCCATGCCGTCGGAAAGATCTTCCTTCATTGTGGGTGCTGCGTAGCCAGTCGGTGCGCTGGTGGTAGTCAGTGTCGTTGTGTACTCCTTCAGATCGTCACCATCTTGGAGACAGAATCCGTTCCCATAAGCGCTCTGGCAGAAATAGGTCTGGCTGTCTCCGGTTTCCGTCCACATGGCAAAGTCCTTTATTGTAATATCGTAGCAAGGATTATCATCAGGACAGAGGATCTTGATCGGACCACGTTGCGCCCCATTCGCTTCAGTGCCCTTCCAATTGGATATGGTAATGTTTGAAAACTCGACGCCATCTCCGTCGGCTGTCTCAATGTTGCTCCAGGCGCTGTCAATGTCCAGGGAATAGGCATTTCCGTGTCCTGAGAATAGTTCTCTCCTTAGCAATTATTTCTGGCGTAGTGTGCAACAAGGGAAGAGAAAGCGGATTTACCAATGAAATTCTCTAGAGCCAAATTCCTCACGTATCCGTCACCCCCGTTACTCTTGATCATAAACATCTGGTTGGACGAATGAGTGTACACGTTACGGTAGATGATGTCCGTGATATTCGTGCCTGAGGTAATGGATCCGATTGCGCAGCCTCCACTCCAGTTGCAGTAGATGTTCTCGATCAACAAGTTATGGGATGGATTCTGTGAGGGATATGGTTAGCAAGTCGACCATGAAGCAAATTTGAGTTCCCCTGTACCTTGACAGTCACACACTCATCCTTATTAGTCACTTCGACCTATATATCGACCGTCAGTGAGTTACATCCCAGGCATTCCATTCAATATCAGCGGACTCACATCATGGACCCAGACATTCTCACCCCACACATCAATACCATCTAGCCCACCGGAGTTGCCCCCGCGAACGACAACATTGTAAACTTCACCATCTGTCACAGTGTCAAGCGACAAATGGAAAGCTGGAGAATCAACCAAGATAATATCATGAACGGCAAAAGAGGAGGTTTTCTGCAACCTCAAAGTCCTGGTATTCGTCGATTGTCCCGCAATACGAAACTCATACCGGAGTCCCTGAATCGCACCCTTTCCGGTGCTGCTGAACATCTCAAAATCGCTCGTGTGATCAAAAGCTATCATGTTGCCGCCGTCGGTTCCATTACGGTAGATCACACCGTCAAGTTGCAGAGCCCAGGAATTTCCTTTATCAAAGAGGACCCAGCTCGACAAGGCATACTCTCCTTCCGGAACATACACCAGACCGCCGCCATTACAGTCCGCAAAGGCGTCCAGTAATGGTTCACTAATATCAGTTGACAAGTCGGCGACTGCTCCGTAATCAAGAACATTGCACGTTTTATAAGCGGCCTTCTCAGCCGCTGACCTGAGGGGCCCGACTCTACCAGTGAGTTGGGCGGATGAAAGGAGAGGTACCAGACCCCATAGAAGAAATGATGCAGAACGCATTTTACAGCATCTATAAGCGAATATAGACAAAGAGGAAAAAAGAACAAAGAGCGACAATGGAAATTAGTATCTTCAATTACGAGAAAAAGGAGTGGACAGTTAGACAATACAAACGATTAACCGAAGTAAGAAAAATGAGACAGTGAGCACTATATGAGGCCCATCGCATCTTATCTATCACTTTGTCATACCCTTCAAAGCCCCCCTTCATTTAAGTGCTACCCTCTAAGCAGGAGGATGAGCGGTGGGCCATTGTGCGCACGCGTACTCTGTACAATACTTCGGAATACTGCCCGTATTCTGTAGCCGAGAGGGTAGCCGAAGCTCCACTAGAGTTCGTCTCTATCATAGGCTTTGTACGCCCTAATTCCCCCGAACCACGAACTAACGGTGAGTTAATCTATATCAAACGGTGTCCGGCTACAGGGAAGCCAGTTAGGTGGGAATAGCGGGATAATAACTGCCGACTGGTGGACCCATAGCGGATAGAGTCCACGTATCTTGGTAATGGTTGCGGCTCGCTTAGCAGACGTTGTTTGCTGTGGTTATACAGGTACGCGTGGAATATATACCAAGAGTGGATTGTATCTGATCTGGGGGCGCTTTATTCACATCCATTCTCTCATAATCCTGCTCCGTAGAGCAGACGTTAGTATCAAGCTGCTATATCAGCGTATGCTAGCAGGTTGAGCCGCAACGTGTGGTAATCCACTGTGCTGAGAATAGGAGCTTCGGCCAATGATGGCAGTCCATTACAGGCTGTAACTCAGTGTGACAAGACTACTCCATCTGGAGTATGCCTAAGCTAGGGTTTCAAGGTAGGAGGCAAGGTGCCTGAACTTACTCCCTATAGCTGAGAAAGAAGGTTTTTTGAAGTGTGGGGCCGACACCTAACTAAGTGAAGACGAAAAGTAACTAAACTAAGAGCTGGGCATGAAAGCCACAACCTGGTGGGATCATATTTGAATGCGAGGCTTTTACCAATGTGGACATAGCATGGCTCAAATGTGGACTAATGGCTGCTAGATACAATAGAAGTCAACCCACGTACCACAAGAACATGAATATACATAAACCGCTTCGAGTCAATTCAATGATGGTCTAGGCTACTAGCATCTCGGGATATCACCAACACAGCAATAACCTAGACTGATATATCTAGCGAGAAACGTCTATTTCCTGGAATAATCGATATGACCGCTTATCGACACAATGTGAGCATACTTGGCCTTTTATTATGGCACCATTGCGGGGCCAGTAATCATTGCCGATCCCTACTGCTGTTAAAAAATTATCGTCTTCAGGGGTCTGGTCCAAAGCTGTATGTCTAGAGAGAAGACATTTTTGTACAAAGCTATTGATAGGAATTGGCGACGCGATCAGTAGTGACCAACGGCAGAGACTCTATCGGCTTTAGTCAAATATACTATCATTTTATATCGTTTTCGTCTTTTTCCATTCCCGATATTAAAAAGCAGCCCAGTCCATATCGCGGGGATCAAAAGTCAACGATAGAAGGCTTGTATTCCCATTAGATATTTTGCGTGTATAATTTATTTGGGGGGCAACGTATGTGTTTATTATTCCACTCATATTGGGAGGTACTTGAGAGTGAGCACTGCGGCAGAAAATTGTAAACAAGAATCTCCAAACCTCTTGGGAAAGGCTGGGTGCATGGCTTCTATGTACGAGTACATGTATAGTCAGGGATATCTCCCTTACTAGATTCTACTATCATAGTTTTCAATTGACTTCTTTTGCTTGTCTCGCCCATAACCTCGCGCAACGGGCTCCGCTCAATTCTTACCGGTGTCTGATCTTGTGAGTACAAGGCATCCCGGTCCAAACCCATTCAGAAGATAATTTTGGGTATATGCCACTCTTTTAGTCCCAAATCTTGAGTCATTCCAGAGTAGGTTATATCCCGACTTTGAACCTCATCTATACATTCAAGAATAATTAGACATTGTACACAAGTGTGTTCGAACATCTAGTATGGCTCCCTGCGGAAGGCCATTCCAAGAACGTGCTATATGCGATGGATCGATTAAAGAGAAATTTTGATATCTTGCTTCGCTCCATCACGGCACATGACCCGATAACCCTAACATATCTCAGTCAACAGGACGTTAAAGTATTACTTCTCGGATCACAGTATCAAATGTGCGCTTATAGTATGCGGGCATAAATCAGTATTCTAAATATGTTTCTTCGACCACGACCGAAACGGTTCCTCAGACTTGCGGTGATCTCGTGCCAGGCCATCTGAGGTACGGTTTCCTCTTAGATAGACGGCATCTCTCAGTCAGACCTCTTGAAACAGCCTAAACGACCTAGAGTGCTAATCGACAATTCCTCTCTCGCCCGCTCTCAGTCTCACCCGTCTTACTGCGTGCCGAGTTGTAATGTTGGTCGTCCAGAGGCACATGCCATCTTCACCTTTCTACAGGTTTGGAACCATATTGCTTTAATGCGTGTGCCCCCTCACGTCATTGGAGAATTGTATAGTCAGTACAAGGCAACAGAGAGACAACCTTGTTAATTTCGAACCATTACTTCAGTGCGATGCTCCGCAAACTGTTCCCAGGTAAGACGCCTAGGCATCCTTCCCTGTTGTTCATCCCATAACGAGTTTCGACAGTAGATCTCTACCTCGTTATGATTTGGGGGGTCCAGAAAAATTATTTGATTGGCCTTTTCCTGTGGAGAACGGGTAAACGCTGGCAGCTACTTTCGCTTCAATTGGACGGAACCATGGTGGCTCAAACATTTTAAGACATGGACCCTTATTTTAGCTCAGTGCTGACGTTTGGTTTTCTTCTGGAAAGTCTTGGCTCGTACGCCCATGCAACCACACGGGATAACACGGTCCAATACATCGCTGGCATCCTAGCAGGACGCTGAACCTACCGAGGAAGATGTACTAGGCACCGGCTACACGTTAAGACGGGCTTGACCAATATTAATTAGGTAATCTTCGTGTGATAGTCTAGTTACGTCCATAGTGGAGAGGCCAAGGCAACCCACGGATGTAACTTTAATCGATGAGCCCAGAATTGTTCTGCCTACCTGTGGGAAGTGCTTTGGGGTTGGATGCCTGGATAGCCATCTGTTGGCCCCGAGAAAGGTATTATCAGAGATTCTTTTCATACTTTATATCGAGAACTGGTGAGTCCTGGGTGCCATGAACAGTCATCCCATGGGACCACAGGGCGATTTGGGTTCAACCGAGCCTTGTCCGAGACAACGAACGCTATGATCAACTGCCTAGATAAGGTCTGTTTAAGTTCGGAGGCTAAGCTATATTTGACCGAAGCTTGGTCTCCAGTTTATGTTAAATAAGCTCACCACAGTTGGGGCAGGCAGCCATATTTCCAAGGGTCTCCTCTTTGTGTGCATATTCGTACTTCCAGTTATGACTCCTCGGTTTGACTTCGTTTATGAATATTAGGGACAATACCTCGGTCTCTTAATGGTTATTCCTTGATCATATACGCAAAATGCCGGCTACAGGAAGACCAAATACCGACTACGAGCGTTGGCTTCAGCATCACAATCCAGACGCCGAATTTCAACCGAGCCCACAATACGGTCCTCATCATGGCAGTCGGTCTGGGAAATATCCCCCTTTTCACACGCCAAAGTAAGCCCAAATCAAGTGTCTCAAATGGATGATTCTAATCGTAGCCATAGGACGGACAGGCCTCGCATTCCCCTCGCCGAACCTCAAATCCGGTTTTCGCCTACAGAGAAGGAGCTTGGGTCTTCTCCCAGGGAGGGCTCAAGCTCGCTGACTGGTATCTTATTATTCGTTTTTGTTATTCTGGTTGCTGTTGCATATGCTCGATCGCAACTTGCGCACTCCTCACACAGCCCCCAGACTCGGAGAAGAGGTGAAAAAATTTGATGACTGGCCATGACAGTCATAAGTCTGACAATATCTTCTTGCCCATTGAAGAGTTCCCAAAGTTACTGCAGAGGTTGGACGAGAGATGCCTGGACGGATACGGTTCAAGAGCTTCCAATGCCCCCAAACTGTGCCGTTCGATCGGTAGCACTTGAATTTAGAATCAAGGAATATAATGCTACTTCGAAACGGACAACTCAATGCTTTATGCTGGTTCATAGGCTGTTATGGTACGCTTCCTGTGACACAGGACACCAATCTATCGCTAGTTCCAAATAATAAATATCGATTGTTAGATTACCATAGCATATTGTCCCCTTATTTTCTCCAAAGTAACCCCTTATCATAACTCTCCTACAGATGTATTGGCGCCACTAGGCCATTTGGCACGGGACATCCGGTTGTTGACCCTTACTATAATTGTCTTTGTGCTTCATTAACTTTGAATATAGAAAGTTCCCTGTGTATTCTCTCCCATGAGGCTTATTCTCTTAACAGGGTCAGTTAATCCACAAAACCATTTAGTCAGTCGCGAGAAATGTACCCAATTCACAGCTTAGTCTAGACTAGGGCTGATTCACTATGGCCTGGAAATATTAGGGCCGGTAATTGGCATCTGCTTTCGATGACAGGTACCTTCACTGGGGTGGCTCTGCCCGTATCTCAACCCGTGTTTTATCAACTGTTTCTCTATTGTCTCGTTAATAGCTACTGTATTGGAATACTATAAGCATAAATGGATAAGCCATCCCTCTTTGCAAATGCGGCCACGGGAGAAGGCCCCCGAGAAGGACAGCTATACCAAGGGGGTCTGGACCCGTAATTTCGCCGACGATACTCGGCTACCAGTAGCCTCATTATCAAGAATCCCCGCACAGTGAAGGGACCATAGCAAAGCTAGAGTGAGAGCAGATCTGCATCTTCTGTCTATGATAAGAATAATAGATGACTCAGGGTGTCAGAATCCCTTTCGAAGTTCCGGGAAGATGCAGCGCGGTTGAAGAAGGCTTCGCGGCCAAGTATAAGACGCGTTTCAATCGGGACGCCGTGCGACTGGATCTGCTTTTGTGGCTGGCTAATGCCCAGCTCTACTATGCATCCATACATATGGGGTGGATGCACCTATCAACCGACTGAGGTATCCCGCTGCCTAGCCTCTCACGTACACCGCAGTAAGTCGGTTGGGTAAAAAGGCCACTGAAGACATCGACGGTGACAGGTCAGAGCTCAAGCAGTGCCAACAAGTATTTGCAAAGGACATGGCAGTGAGTCAGTGTCGATCCTTGAAAAAAAAAATAAGTAAATAAATAACGGAACTCAATACTGATCTCAAACAGTTCTGGTGCTAAAACGCTGCAGAGGAAGCATCACACCGGACTAGAAGTTTGTTGAAGAGCAGTTTATACGCAGATACTGTCGAGATCAACACTGCGACATGCCACTTTTAGTAACGACCCCTAGTGCATCAATTAGATGCTGTGTGGGACGTTTGTTTGTATCATGTAATGCGATTATCAGCAAGACTATTTAAAGCACAAAAGTGTATCGATTGCTTGGGGAATGGCAACAATATAGAGGAATCGGAATCACCATCGCCCTACTTTCTTCACGGTCTTACAAGTGATACTCCAGTATGATTGAATCAAGTGGCTCGGTCTCATGCTACATTATCCAATCTTGCTTCTCTTGTTTTTAGCATCGATGGTTAATAAACTATTTGATCGTTTGCTGTGGTGCAGCCATAGCCTTGTATAAGTACGAGGTATAGAGCGGTAAGAAGGTGTTCTTTAGATATTGTTCTACTGCACACCTATGCTATATCTGAATTCCTGACTTTGTTTGTTTATAACCAGAGGTGGCATGTGTTTCGCCGTTGAACTGGTCCGTCGCAACTAATAAGAATTCACGCCGTCTAATCATCAACACCCCACCTTCTCGAGCTCTTTCGCGTGGCTCTCTTCCCACGGATGCTCCACTTCCACTGAACGGATCAATGCTTCGTGGGCAGCGCTCCGAGGGGTGATATCGAGACTATATGGTGCCGGGTGGCTGATAACACCCGGGAGAAATTCAGCCTGTAGATCTTCCCCTTCTGGCTTAGAGAAATTGAAAACCGTCAGAGACTGTGCAGTACTGAGGAAGACGGTTGCATCTGCTAAGAATTGACCAGGACAGATGCGTCTGCCATAACCAAATACAAGGCTATGCGGATCGAGCTCAGGATTGTCGCCCAGGAAACGCTCAGGTCTGAACGTCTCGGGATCACGATAGATAGTGGGATCATGTGTGAACCACCTACAACGGTCAGATGTAGAATAGATTGGGTGGAACTCTACCTACCAGATGTTTGGCAGGATTAGGGCGCCCTTGGGGATGAGATAGCTTCGTAAACATCATCCTCAGTGACCAAGTGCGGAATGCCCATCGGGCCCACAGGGTGCCATCTAAGGGTTTCCTTGACCACGGCCTCAATGTATGGGAGCTTCTCACGATCGTCAAACGTAGGAAGCTTGTTCGGCCCTATGACACGATCGATCTCCTCTTGGGCTTTGCGCTGGACTTCGGGGTATAATGCCATTGCCAAGAAGAAGCAGGATAACGACGATACAGTCTAGAGCCTGTTAGCCACTACACATCACACGAGCGTGTCGACTGGTATTACAGTGTCCGCCCCTCCTAGGTAAAGTGATGCAGCCGTCCATTTGCTCGCAAACTCTTCTTCAGCAGTAGGCTTTCCCTCGCTTTGTTCGAGGGCACTAGCCAAGTATGAGGGTGAGTACGAACCCTGACGTATTTGCTGCTTCACAAGTTGATATGGCTTCTCAATGGTTGTGAGCAATGTCTTTCTCCAAGCATAGCCTGTCTGCTTGAATCCAGCGCCTGGGAACCAGGCGGGAAGGTATCTCACTGTCTTCGTTAGCCTCTGGGCAGTCGGTCTGAGATATGAAGCTGCCCTACAAAGAGGAATGGTGTCGACCAGCCAGGTCCCTGGATTCCCCGCAACTGAGAAATTCTCCATTGCTTCGTTTGCCAAGTCAACGAGGGGATCAGGGCCATTGGGCTCAATGTTATATCCATAAGCGATCTTGAGAATCACCGCTCCGGCCTCCCTACACCAAATTAGATATAGGATCATCGGTTCGGCTCATACACCTACGTTCGAATATGTTGAATCAAGTCATCCGGCTTCCGCAAAACGCGCAGAAGAAATCGCCGCACTTCAACGTCCTGCAAGGGGTTGAAGCGTGACATTAGAGCCTTGGTACCCAGAACGCGATGCAACACTTTGCGATAAAAGCGAAAGCGATCGGAGTATCCCTGAAAGCCTAACACGTCTTCCCAGCCCACTCTGCCTTGTGTTAGTATGTACATAGTCTAATGCAGACTATGTGTAGCTTGGAGTATGCTTACATTTCCCCGGCAAAGACCATTCGAGGTCGGGATGAGTATGTGGCAGAGCGCTTTTCCATGAGGTCAACTGCCACCTGGTGGTCATTAAGGATAATGATGGTTTGGCCAAACATCGAGACCGAACTGATTGGGCCTGGCGATCGAAGTTATCAGGTTGCGACCGGGCCATATGCTGCTGTGATCACATACCATAGAGCTCCTTGAATTTCAACCAGTGAACCCACTCCTGCTGTCCAGGTCGCGGCAGATCCCGCAGATTTCCAATGATCGGCTTCGGCTTCGGGCCTGGGGGCAGTGGTGCAGACGTCTTCTTGCGGAGTAGCACTGACTTTGCAAAATACAAAAGGGCCAGCCCCAGAAGGACGCTGCCTAATGTTGGTAGGGACATTGTGACAGCCACCATCTACGGAGAATGCATGCAACAAGACATGAACGAAGTGCTGTAGAATGCAAGGACAAGGCCAGAGAAATGCCGGGGCGGTGTGGATCTTATGCATGCGAAACTTGGTCTAAACGTCGCTAGGACGACTGCCAGCACAGTAACTAACCAACTAGTTAACTTAGTTAGTTCGTTAATCAGTTAGAGGTGGAGATTGTTAATCCAGCTGGTATAATAGGTGCGGCAAATAGCGCCTTTGGCTCGATAGCCATCATTCTCCGAGATCTCCATGATTGGTCTGCCGATCCATTTTAGGGTTACAGTGCGCGAGGGAATGGCATAGCCAGCCACTATCGAAGGCCCAAGCCATTTTAGATGACCCTCATAGGAGTCTCTAAGATGCGGAGATATGCTAAAGTTCTCGTGGTATGCTTTTGGTGCAACAGGCCTCTCCAGTTCCCTTCCTTAGGGCTTACCACCAACGGATGTCTTCCCGTTCCACCAAAACTGCTCATTCGTAGCCACAACTCGTCTCGAACAGAAGCTGTTGCACTAACTATATTTACTAGACTGGACCTGACAGTACCTGTATCTCTTTGACATTTTCTATATGCCCGCGGACACATCTGTTCAGCTGTCTTTCCTCTCCTTTGACCAACGCGTCTTCCCGCTATCTAAATACAGGTATATCGGATACACTCTGGGAGTATTATCGATTCTCTTCGCGGTATCCAATACCCTGCCTGGGCTTGTTCTTCCGGTGCAAGCCAGCGTCCCCACTTCTGGACAGGCTGGACAGGAGAGGGGACCGGCCCCTGCATCGATATCAGCACTTCCTCATGGTATCGCGCAGCAATACAAATAGTTATGAAAATATGAATCATCTCATTTCCTCTCTCGCCACTCTCAAGGCCTTCCTTGAGCAAAAGGAAGATGATGCTAATCATGCCAATGTTCTGTGCCAGTATTCTGTAGATAACCCAAGAATACGGTGTGATGGAGTCCGAGGCATGCCAACATGAACAGACTCACTATTGCCAGTTGCCTCCGAATGCGATCCCTCGTCCAATTGTCCAAATTGACCAATATCAGTGGTAAGCTGACATCAATCACGTATCAGGTCTATACATGATCTCCATTCTTCTGGCGACAACTTAGTGGACAACAATCCCGTAATCTATTGGAGTATAATCGGATGCGACGTCGCCATCATATGCGCCTGCATGCCCAGTATCCCACCACTTTTCAAACGCCTGTTCTCTGCCGGCTGAGCGACAACAGGATGATAAGGTATGGATGGGGTTAATCCTTTCCCATCTATTCGACTGGATAAGATCGAACAGAAACAAATGTTCGGTTTGTTCCACACGTGCAGATGACAAGATCGATTGCCGCATGCGGAGTTGTGTCATTTCTTGACGGACCGTTGATTTTATTAATTGTCACTGCTCGGATGGCTTCCTGCCAAGTATGAGGGGGTGCCATGCGCCCACGTTTGGTGAATGCTGTGTTGAGAATTGAGAGGTCCAATAAGTAGCTTTGCAAATAGCTCTTGCGTACATGGTGATGTTGCCCTGGAGACTCTGATATTTGTACAATATACATGAAAGGAACAATGAAGGAAAGAGAAAGACGAGGAAAAATGAAGTCGGAAAAGAGAACAACGATACCAAAAGGGGAGATACGAGACGCATATGAGATCGAGATAAAGCAAAAAAGAAATCTCCCCGACTGGGAGTCGAACCCAGGTCTCCCGCGCTTGTTCTCGTATGAGATGACAAGCGGAAATCATGACCGTTAGACCATCGAGGATTTGTTAAGAAAGTTTTTCTTTTCTTGATATATAAACAAAAAGTATTATAGCCAAGATATTGCAACGCCTCCGCTGTCTTGGTCTAAAGACTCTAAACTAGCAAATGTTGTAAAGGCCAACCTTTTTACTTCGATACCTTCAGGCTTGCACAAGTAATCGACTGGGCATGAATTTAAATTAATAGAGCCTATAGAAATAAACAGTAACAAGATTATAGTATCAAGTCTCATCGCTGAACTTCAGTTTCCTTCCAAACGTAATATTAATGATATATATATTTGTCAAGCATGACGAACCGCTATCACTGAAGACCCTACGCTCCCTGGAAACCAATCCGCAACCAAATTCTAAGCTATCTGCATGAGTGTCCATGATATATATATCCGTTCAAGAATTCTTTATAGATCCACTATTTCACTAAAACCCGCACTCCCTTGCTATCCATCTTCGGGAAGGGAAGAAACATATCATGTGCAAGCGTCACATCCTCCAGTGTAGTCTCATACAACTCAAAATCTAGTTCTCTGAGGACCTTAGGAAGGGCGAGGAGAATTTCGGACCGCGCGAGACTTTTCAAGCATTAGTATGTAGGTTAGATCATGATCGAAAAGAAGCATACTTCATGCCAATGCATTGCCTTGATCCTTTGGTAAACGCCACCATATACTTTTCCAATTGCTTCCGCTGTTCCAGGTCCAGCCAACGCTCGGGAATAAACTTATGTGAGTCGGGGAATATCCGCTCGTCGTGGTGCATCAACGTGCTGGACATTCCCACGGGAGTCTGTTTCATAAGCATGCAATTACCAACAAGCGACGACAGAGATCCATAAACTCACCCCGGCGGGTATAGACCATTCTCTAAACTGCAGTGCTCTATCGGGAGCCACTCTTTGCAACCGGGTACTGAGGCCATACGAAAGTCTGGATTGAAATGTTAGTAAGAGAATACGCATCTGTAACGTCTACCGTAAGAAAAGGGACAGACCTTAACCCCTCAAGGATGACCGATGTCTATGTGTCAAACAGTTAGTCGGATATAATTACCAACACAGATACTTCCACCAGGACATACCAGGTAAGGCATTTTCTCGAAGTCCAACAAAGTAGCTGTTCGATCAGGATCCAGCTGGCTGAGTTCCTCTTTCAGTTTCTGCAGTTTGTCTGGGTTATGAAGAAGGTAGAACATCGTCCAAGTCAAAGCTTTGCCTGTAGTTTCAGCCCCTGCACCGACCACTACCTGAACTTCCTGCCATAAGCGCTCCGGAGATTTCTCCTCTGGTGGAAGATTGCTATTGAGCACGTCATGAAAGAAAGTAGGATGGCTGAATTGACTCTTAACCTTGTCATATCCGTTGGCGTTTTGCTCCTCCATGATCGACGTTATAACGTCACGGCAACGACGTTGAAAATGGAATGTCAAGTCCATCTCGGGATTCAACCAAGACAACCAACGCTCTGGTAGAGCATTGAATACTTTGAGAAGCCACGGGAAGGGCTTGATATAGACACCCGATTTTGCAATGCCACTCAATGTCCTGCTCCACCGAGGAACGAAGTCCGGTTCATCAAGGTAGTGGAACCCAGCACCCATAGTGTAATCGGTGACAACATCGGTGGCGAAACAGGTAAATGGGTACTGCAGGGCGACCGGGGTTCCTGTTCCCTTGAATTCCCTCAGACGGTCGCACAGCTTGTCTACCAACGCCTGGATCAAAGATTCGAGCTTTCGTATCCGTGTCATGGCAAAGTACGGGTTCATGTTGGAGCGCAGGAGACGGTGATGATAGTGGTCTACTGTCGCCATTGCCGTCTTGGTTAGCCCGAATTGCCGGGTATAATATTCATACTTATTCCGCGGGCTGTCTCGAGAATATAACACTTCATAATAGTCGGGGTCACTGATATGGAGTTCCCAGGGACTGATGCGCACGATGGGACCTAGGATAAAGGTACAATTAGCCTTATGTCTCGGTCCTTTGCCCTGTTGATAGCTTGCTGCGGGTAGTACCATATTTCTCATGCATCCGAATGATTTGGAATGTATACTGGCCTTCGCAGTAAATATCGTAGTACAATTCATACCATAATGTAAGCGCGGCCAGCTTAGGGCCGGGGAACTTGGCCAATGGGGACAACCATAATCGATACGCAGCCAAAGCAATCAGATAGACCACCCCTGCTAAAGCAATCATCCACGGTTGCAAAAGAAACTGAAACATGCTTCGATCTCGCACAACGTCAGCACGTAGGACAAAACGAGGGAAAGTGAGAAATAAAAAAGCAAAAAATGGGCGATCGGACAAAACATGACCAGGGCTACTATGTCATTTACGCAGTTCTCTGTTCTTCTTTACCTTCCAGCAATACCGAAGGATGCACCGTCGACCGTTAGTATTTCACCCCCGCCCCCATATTCAAACGGTACTGCAGGTATCTCCACCGTCCAAGAAATGGCTGACCTGTCGGAGCAGCCGATCCCTCGGAGGACGCTCCGTTTCTTGAAAATCCTGCCGTTGGCAGGTGGCTCTTGGCTCATTAGTGCAGCGCTATGATCCGGCACGTCCCCCAAAAATCCAATCATGCAACCGATAGCTGGTGGTATCATATCTTGGGACAGGGGCTTCGCAAGTGGTTTTTCCTGTGCCGAATCCTTGTGTTCCATGTGTTTGCCTTCTGCCACGGAATAGTCCACATGGCTTATAAGCGATCAGGGACCCTCTTGGCCCCTTTGTGATCCGTCATATTGAATCCCAGTAGACACACCATGTGCTCCTACCCGCATGCCGGTCCACCTATCGACCCCGAGGTTAGTGTTCCACAATTTGGCGAAGGTAAATTAGAGAACTTTATTAATTGAATATAAATCTGCGTTCAGGCCGACGCGGATCTCTATAGTGATGAGGATTACTCCAGCGCGTACGTATCGCTTAGGGTTTCCGTGGTTGATTCTTAAACTAAATTCCACCCAACAGAGCCGGCAGTTCGACGACATCTTTGTCATCCAGTATCTTACATTATCAGTGAGTACTTTAGTTTGATCCAGCGAAGTCAAATCTCACGTTTCCTCTTCCAGATATGAGGTCTAATTGTTAATCGCCGTCCACCACGTCCAACCACTGACATAGCCTCATAGAATGGACGGCGGTATCATGCATATCGACAAGGAGAATATGTCATTGTAAGCCCCCACTATTATCAATCACCTGGTCATGGACTGATGGAAATCGCACAGCCAAATGATGAAAGAGAACAAGATCGATTAGACCTGGTATTTGAATTCTTCACTTCCGCCTGCCAGTTACTTCTCTCACTTCTGGAAGGGTCACCATATATGTAGTCTTGTGCTGGCGGGAGCATTATATCGATCTCCCATATCAGAAAACCCACGAAGAATCCTAGATATAGGAACCGGAACAGGATTGTGGGCAATTGACATGGCCGAGTACGAAGCTAAGCATATTGGAAGTACATCACTGACAGTGGACAGCCAGTACCCGGAGGCACAGGTCATCGGTGGGAACCGCCAACACCTACATTCTACTTTCGCTGCTAACTGGCAATAGGGACGGACCTGAGTCCGATTCAACCTTCATGGTATGAGCCTACTTGACTTTAGAAGTAGGAAATGGGATGAGTTATTGAGTATAACGGTACCAGGGTGCCACCGAATTGTGCCTTTGAGATCGACGACTTCGAACTTCCGTGGAACTTCGCCCAACCGTTTGATTTCATCCATGCTCGAAGTGTCGAGGGATCCGTCAAGGATTTCCCGCATCTCTTTCGCCAAGCACATCAGCACCTCGTTCCCGGTGGCTGGTTTGAAATGATGGAACCCACCGTCGGCATCTTTTCCGATGACGATAGTATCTCGAACGCGCCGTATCTATCTGAATGGCGGGATATGTTGATCGAGGCGAGTAGAAAGTTTGGCAAAGAGATGGGAGTGGCGAAAAATTACAAGCAGTGGATGACTGAGGCTGGCTTCACGGATGTGACGGAGGAAATATTCAAGGTTGGTAGCTCCTCCATGACGGAGGGCCGGTCCTGTTGACTTCTCTAGGTGCCTTTTTCGCCATGGGCTAAAGACCCCAAGCTGAAGGAACTGGGACGCTACCAGCAAGCTAATATGCTTGAGGCTCTCGACGCGTACTCATTGGCGCTGTTCACTCGATTCTTGGGTTGGAGTGTTGATCAGATCCAGGTGCTTTTAGTAGGGGTTCGACGAGAATTACTAGACCGGAGGCTACATATCTACTCTCGGTACTATCTGGTTTACGGTCGGAAGGAGAAGGAAGACTCGTAGTCATCAGATTGGAGATGTTGGGAGAGTCAAGTACGGTCAGGTTTGTCTGTGCATGGCATTATATCGCCTTTTTCGTTTTGCCTTACCTTTCTTTTGTTTTCTTTCTCTTTCTCTTTCTCTCTTTTCCCTTCCCTTCCCATTCTCCACTCTCCACATGGTTGAATCCAGTGCCATCCCAAGCAATATACGCGCATTCCCACCGACCAGAGAATCAGACATACATACAGGTCAGAAATTGATATCTGCTCCCCGACACATGATGCAGCTTTTCAGATGGATTGTCACTGTGCTATTGGATAGTATCCAGACGTATGAGTGCCAGAGGAGACACCAAACCCTTCCATTCTTCTCGACAGCAGAGACTGCTGCTCAAAACTCAGCAGGTACCTTGGTAGTTAGTAGCCCTGCTGAAACCTCTCTTTGGTTAGTACCTCATCTCGCTACGGGACATACCCCCGATCATGTGACCCCGTTACTCCGTCAGCTTGCATTAGTGTACATATTGGCAGGGTATTTTCATCGGTTGCACGTGTCTGATCGAAACCTAGAACACAACGAGAAGTACTTCTCAGCACTCGAGATGTATGGTCATCTTTCCATGACTTGAAGATTTTTTTTTTTGGGAGGATCTGGGATCTGGAATCCAATATGGCCAACTTGGGGTATGATATTACGCCGGAGTAGAAAAGCTCCCTCCAGTGCCTCCACATATCAAACTTAGTTGCTCCGGTAAATAAACATCGAGAAATTTGCCGGCTCGCCCTACCGGGTGGTGGGGTTGAACGTGTTATGAAGTGGGTGCACGGATGGGATGGTATCGTTCCGTGAAGTCGATCTATCTAGCCAGAAATAGCAATAATATTCACGCCCGCGACGTTTAAAAATCGACGTTGAGACACCTCAAAAACGGTGATAAGACGTGGCGGATAAGGGGCCTTTGTTTGTTGACGAGGAGAGCTACACGGGTTGCGCCCTGCTGCCTGAGGCCATAGGCCGTGAGCATGACGCCACTACAAATGACCGGCCCGGAATCGGAGAAAGCCGCTGGATGCGGTTTTTCCAGACACCAATGGTGAACTAGACGGGGTAGTCACTACTAGTCATGATGCTACCGATATAGTCCTTTTTTTTCGCTCTTCCACCCTAACCCTCTCATTTCACTAGCCTGTCGCTCTATAAATTTCTTCCTCTTGCCCTTTGTGCATATTCTCTGGACATAGCACTCGGACTCGTTTCTGTGCGCCCCTGGAGATCGGGTGGTCGTTATCTCTCTTTTCGCGGACCCGCGCCACCAAGCGCGCCGCATCAAGCTCACCATCATGGGCCTCTCCAAAACCAACAGGATCATAATCCTGTTGGTCATCGACTCTGCGTTCTTTCTCCTAGAATTGATAGTTGGTTAGTATCCATGGACCTGGTGTTGCGTTGTTCTCGATCTCACACCCCGCAGGCTATGCCGTCCACTCGCTTGCCCTTGTTGCTGATTCGTTTCATATGGTATGTATCTCCTGCAGATCCAGTATGGACACCAGCCAAAGGCTAACTATGTCAAGCTTAATGATGTTCTGTCCTTGTGTGTTGGTTTATGGGCCGTGAAGGTCGCCAACCAGGAGACCAATTCCACCACTTCCAAGATGTACACTTATGGAGTAAGCTCTGTTCTTGCGGCGTGGGGGCGGAGTACAAGCTGACCATGATCTTTTCATTACAGTGGCAACGTGCGGAAACCCTCGGAGCCTTGGTCAACGGTGTCTTCCTCGTCGCGCTGTGCATGTCGATTTTCCTAGAAGCGATTCAACGTCTGGTGGAACCCCAGGAGGTGCAAAACCCGAAGCTCGTTTGCATTGTCGGTTGCTTTGGTCTTTTGTCGAATATCTTGGGTCTTCTGTTGTTTCACGATCACTCCCACGGACATGGCCACGGCCATAGCCATGGTGAAGCCCATGGGGTTGAGGATGTGGATGCCGCTGAGCAGGGCAATATTTCCCATGGCGGAAGTGACCCCGCGCGGGGAATCGCAGTACGTTCAGTCTTCCGCAATCGTGTCCTCAGTGATAAACTCTTAACCAAAACCAATATAGGACGAGTGTACACTCTCTTCTCCCGATGCTCGAAGGCGCCGAACCCTTGATAGCCAACATCGCGGATCTACCAGATACAACAGTAACGTGGAAGACATCCAGGTACACCCGGCGACAATGAGACAGGAAATCATCGGTCGCAGCCGCTATGTCGATGAGGAGCAGTCGTCCGAGTCGGACAGCGACCAAACAAACGTCGCTGAAACATCAGAGCGATCGGCTCTCCTTAGCCACAAAGACCGAGCGCGCAAGTATACCGACGAAGCAAACACAGCCCTTTTACCAAATGCTACAGTGGACGACGACGTCCATAAATTCCATAACCACGCGCAACCCAAGTCGAAGGACTCCAAGCATGGTCATAGCCATGGTCACGGCCATGGACATGGACATGATCTCAACATGCGGGGCGTCTTTCTTCATGTCATGGGTGATGCTTTGGGCAACGTTGGTGTCATAGCGTCTGCCTTGGTTATTTGGTTGACTGATTACGAATGGAGGTTCTACGTTGACCCTGGCATTTCATTGGTGATCACGGTGATCATTCTTGCTTCGGCCATTCCTCTTTGCAAGGCCGCATCGAGGATCCTCTTACAGGCTGTTCCTCCCGGTATGAGCATTGACCATATTAAAGAAGACATCGAGAGGCTTCCTGGTATCATCAGCTCCCACGATTTACATGTTTGGCAATTGAGTGACACGAAGCACGTCGCTTCGATCCACATTCAAGTGGATACGGAGATCAAAGGGGAGGGCTCAGAGAGGTACATGCGCCTGGCCAGACAAGTGAGAAGATGCCTCCACGCCTACGGCATTCATTCAACTACGATCCAGCCCGAATTTGCACCGGGAAGCGATGTTGAAGACAACCAACCCGCTTCATCCTATTCCAGCAACGGCCCTTCTAGTCTGCGAGAGGAAGACTCGCGGGCGTGTCTCTTGGAATGCGGCGATGGCTGTACGCGAGGTGGAGAATGTTGTCCCAAGACCACCACCTAAGCTGGCATCATCGTACCGTCCGTCCCGTCAATTTCCCTTCTTTGATCAAAAGCATATCTACTATTCATACCCCCTTTTCTTTTTCGTGTTTCATACCTAGATTGGAGGATTGGTGTCTCGAGGAAAATTATTTGGGTCATGGGTGGGGCATTTGTTTAGAACCTAATACTGTATACTGCGCCTCGGGGGATCTGCTGATATTGTTA